TCCCAGGAAGACTTTGTTAGATGTGACTTGGGTTTCTCCCTCCTCCCAGGAAGTCTTTGTTAGATGTGACTTGGGTTTCTCCCTCCTCCCAGGAAAACTTTAAGATCTCTTTCTTCTTAGTGTTCTGAACTGTCCTGATGGTGTTGTACCCTTGATGTCATACCTCATGCTGAGTTCTCATAGGAAATTTTTTTAATTTTTTGGTCATTGTTCACATTCTTTCTTTCTGGACCACCTATTGTTCCTGTGTTGGACCTCCAAGGCTAATCCTCCAATATTTTTTATCCTTTCTGTTTCTCGTCCCTTTATTTTTTTGATCTGCTTTCAGGGAGAGTTACTGAGCTTTATCTTCCCGATATACATGATGAATGTTTTATTTAATTTCCAAACATGTTGTTGCTGATCTCTTGTTTCTGTTTTATCGCATCCTGTTCTTGTTTCGTGGGTGCAGATCAGATCTCTCTGTGGATGGTCATGAGAGTGGGGTTTAGGAGTTCTTTTCTGCTCCCTGTGCTGCTTTTGTTTTCTCTGAGTTTCCTTCTCTGGGTTGGTCTCAGTCTCTGTCTTTCATGTTACAAGTTTTCTTCAACTATCCGGTGATCCTGTGGATCGTGACGCATCGGAAAACGGACTGGGAGCTCTGTGTGTCCACTGGTGGGCTTTTCTATATGGTCACCAGGTGGACACCTGGACTCTTCATGGGAGGACCCCACATATTGATATTTGCAGGTCTTTTCTCTGGGGCTCATTACCCTTCTTTAGAGCTATTTCCACTTCTCTCCTACCTTGGAAAGAGGGACGCTCACAGGGCTGCTACTGGCCTATGCCAGTGCCCTCATGCAATTTCAAAAAAGGTGTCCCCTCTAAGTGGATGACTTAGAAAAAGGTGCCGCCCTGGGCAGAAGCCACCCATGGGCTCTTGGTTTGACTGGCAGAGGGTACCTTGTGCCCATTCCTCCAGGAAGATACAGCCATGAGCTAGGACAAGGCTTGAGGAGCAGAGCAAGGGCTAGATTTTAACTCCCAGTTACCCCCTTAGCCAAGCACCTTTGTGCAGTGCACAGACTGTAGGGCCGTACCCAGATATCCCAGCGCACACCTGAGTGGCCATCCTGACCTCTGAGCAGGCAGTCTCATCACAGTCAGTATTTAGACTCATTGACTTTCTCCCGCTTCGCTGTGCCTGGCGTCCCTGGGTTGGAGCTCCTCTAACTTCCCCATGGAGTATGACGGCCACCCTGACTGCTCGGTGGCATGCCTCTGCAGGTGCCTGGGTGGGATTAGGGTTCCTCCGCCCTGCTCACTTCTCCAACAGCTCTGCCCCTGCCATAAGTGGGTTGGCATCTCTTGCCTACTGTTGCCTCATCTCCATCCCTTTATCTTCAGCGTTGCATCACTTCCGTTCCTTTGCTCTTATTTTCGTGGAGTTTCACAAGGGAAGAAAGGAGCCCATGTGCTCAGTACACCATCTTGAACCGCAGGTCCCATTGGAGCCTCCTCACTACTTCATTAGGTAGCTCGCTGCTCTGTTGACTTGTTTGTGAACCTGCCCTGAGTCCAGCTGGGGCAGTGGCAACATCCATCCTGCTGAGCTATCTCTGCTGAGTGCCTTCGTGTAACGCTCTGCCAGGTGCAGGAGAGGGTTCCCAGTGCGAGGAAGCTCCACTTGCATGCCGCAGTTAAAATAGCTGTGCTACTTCCTTCCCCCTTGCTCACCCCCTACCCCCGGGAAATTGTCTTAGATCTCCCGCCTCCCCAAAAGCTCCGGTCTATAGAGTCATATAGTTTCAAGATTTTCTTTGCCACCCTCACTTTGTTTAGAAACAAGTAGTCCACGCTGGTGTTTGCCAGCGAACAAACAGGGTGCATCCTCTGTTGTTGGCTGTGTGGAACATGGCGAGCATTTGCTCCCGGCCAAACCCGCCCTCTGTGGGGAGATGGCTCCCAGCAGGGCTGGGAGCCGGGGAGTACACCCTCGCTGCCCAGAACAGCCGCTGGGACACATGTGGCTTCTTCCCTCCCGGGGTTCAGCATAGTCCCCCCAACCCTCTGCCCTACGCAGTGCTTGCCTGCTCCTTGTAAGGGTAGAACATTTTAGAAAGCAGAAGATTTGGAGTGCCTGTATGGTCCCTCTTCCTAAGTCATCGATTATTCGGTAGCCTTAGGAATCATGGGGGTTCCAGCACCTCATTTAAGAAATAAGAAAACTGAAGATCAGGAAGAAGTGACTAGTCACTTCTGCTAGCTAGTGCCCTCGGGAGGGACGTTCCCAATTTAGTTTCCTACAAAACTGAAGCCTCCAGTCACTGAAGCTGACCTGCGCCTCCCTCCTCGCCGAGGACTCAGAACA